ATTTTTTATATTTTAAAATCTGATCACAAATGGCGCTTTGATGAGGATAAAAAATTGACTTCGAACGAGATTATAGAGACTGTTTTATAATTTTTCCGAATCACATTTTCGATTTTTACATTTCGAAAGATATCAAAATTTCAAGAAAATAAAGAACGAAATTCAGATCATATTTTGGTCTTCCAATTTTCATTTATTGTCGCTAATTGTATTTTCATGGAGTGGAATGCACGGTGCCAAAACATAACCTCACATGACCCCTTCGATTGATAGCCTGCGATGCAGCGATGCACGACAGAGAACGAAAAATTCGGTATGGTTTGTTAATCTTTGGATTCTAATTGTCTCATCGTAATTTAAAGAAGCGTCGGTGTCCACGCCACTGCATTGCGTTTCTCGCGATGCTTTCATTCCTCGGTGGGAAGCGTAGTAGGCATCCTCCGAGATTTTAAAGCGCGTGGCGGATGCGCCGCGGCCGCAGTAAGGTCGCTTAAGTGGCGCGCAGTCGATTGTCCCAATTCCTGCTGGAAATCGATAGCGACGCCGGAAAATTTATTTGCAAATGCGGGCCAGATATACCTGCAAAACTGACGACCCGACCGGTTATTGTATCCCGTCGCCGGGGGTTCCGCGGAAAAATGGCAAAAAGCTGTGCGGGTCGTGCTCGATCACCGCCGAAAGAGGATCCCGCGAAAATTAAACGTCGAAAAAAAAAATAAATATAAAACGAAAAACACGCCTAACAGCGGCGGGAATTTAAAGGCTCCCTCGTGGGAGCACGCTCGGAAAATGAATACGTATTGTGATCGAAAGAAACGGTTCGTTTTAGTCGCGGCGCATCAGAAATCGAGTTCACATTTCCCCGCTGATTGGTAACGATATTTGCCAACATTTTTATTATCCGCGCGCTACGGTCGTTCAGAATTTATTTGCGATGTTGGGCATATTCGTTCGAATAGGTAAAGTGAAAAAGTATTTTCTTGGTTGAATTTAATTAACCCTTTTGGATACAATGCGAATACCTGGGTACACAGTTAATTTCAATAATGTGTACTAAATAACAAACTGTGAAACTGCTCCTGAAGATCAATTTTTCGTATAAAATGGAATCGAAAAGTCCTTTACCATTTTGCAATCTACAGTTTCGTTGTCGAGATACAAGTAGTTAAAGTTTAGCAACGCGTGCGCCGAATTCCGGTCAGCTGGCGAACACAAACTTTAATCGTTTATATTTCGACAACGAAGCGTCGGATTGCAAAGTGGAAAAGGACTTTTCGATTCATTTTGGCGTTCTTAATCAGTAGGAAAGCAAACAATGATCGATGGTTTAAATAATAAAATAAAAATTGAATCACAAACACGCGGATTGTCAGATTATTGGTATTCATAGTCCAAGCTTTCCTAGCGCTTACCGTACCAATATTTCCCTATCGATCGTTATCGAAACCAACCGGGTATGATGGCTGCAAGAAACGTCGATCACCGCCAGGAAATTCGAGTTTAATCACGTCGATTCTCGGCTGGATGTCCGCGATCCGGTGCCCCGATAAATTAAAATCGTCGCGAGCAGGTCGAAATATCGGCCGTATAAATAGAAACCGGAACGATCGTAATATCGCGGGGGAGATAGAAGCACGGTTTTGCATTAAGCCAAACGATAGTTTCCCAAGAGCACGCGACGACCTTTTCGCGACCGCACGGGCGTCGTGCCAGCTGCCAACAATCAAGGAACGATCCTTTCGTTTTTCAAATAAGTCTCGTTTCGATATCACCAAACGGAGTGAAAGTTCGGGAAAAATAGATATTGGTTTCTGCTACATAAGAGACTTAAATATTTGACAATCTTTGTGTTCTCAATTCTTCATACTTCCAAAGACCGAAATTGGAATATAGAAATATATTTCAAACGCCAAAGGGGGTCTTTTTTTTGTTGCAATTTGGGACGTTTGGAGTCTGATAGAAATACCGAGCGTCGTTTGCATCCCCCCCTTTGGCACACGCGTTGGTCGTTTAAGCCCACCGAAAATCCTTCTCCCTGACCGGTCCATATTTTTTCAATTCTCATCGACGTCGTTATTCTTCCACGAGCTTTCACTTTTCCCTTCCCGACGCCGGCCATTTTTCTCGCCGGCTACTTTATCTCGCCGAGCTGTGGCGAAGGACAGACCGTTTGATATACAGCAGAGCTTCAATCTTTTGAGCGAAATGGGGTCCCTGGGGTTCAATAATACCTCGCCGTTAATAAAAGAATCTATTATTTGGAAATATTGACCTCCAACGCGATACACTACGTACGTGGTAAACTCGTAGCAGTACCAAAGTGGGTGGGAAAGGGGTGGGACGAGAAATGAAGTTTTCAATCGAGAAAGATACGAACGGCTTAAACAGTTTTTCATATCGATACGTTTATCAAAATTTCACAACTGTTGGCGTATATATATCATAAATTTTTAAAAATTCCTCGCTTCGACACTGATTCAATTGTTCGTGCTTGTGATAATAGGGTAGCAATTATATCTTTTTCGATGTGGAAGCACGTGAAACGTAATGGACGTCTTTGGAAACTTCCAGGACGTCGCAGCGGAAGTTGGATAAAGTCGTTAAAAGCGGCGAGCGGCGTGGCAGAAGCGCGTTACGCATTTGTACGCGTTCTTAACGCGTTTTATTACTGTCTGGCTGGAAGCGTTGCTTTTACCTTTAAATTCGCTCTAGAGCGAAAAAAGGAGGTTTACGCGTAGGGAGGATAATAAAATTTTCATCCGATATAACGAAATTATGAAGATAACGCTTCAGCAGGGTCGAGTTAATCGTTTCGTCCGCCATGTTGTCTATTGTCCGCGAAATTCAAAAGAAAAGGATAAAGGGATGCTTGGATTGCTCGCTGAACGTCGAACAGCTATCAGGCGTATTTATTTTCGAAATCATTTATTTACCAGCTGTCAAATTTCATAACGTTGGTTGTTCACGATGTCGAGCGATAAAATGGAATTTTAAAATCGACGGATAACCGAGAACATCAGGCGTATCAGTTTTATTTCGATGGAAACGTCAACGGGGACAAATCTCAAGAAAAATTCCTCGGTTAAAAGGATCAGCGGGCGTTTTATTAAATGTAAGGCGGTGAAACTGTTTCTGTATGGAGCGTTTCGAGCCGAGTAACAGAGACTGTCTGAATTTTACTTTCCAAGTTTCCAACGTAAGAGCGAAACCGTATCTCGACGTCGAAGTTTTCGTCCGTTTCGTGTTCCACTTCGATCCGCCACCTCCCCCTCTGACGGGGGTTGGTTCTCGTGGAAGAAAATCCATCGAGCCGTCTTATTTCTTCGCGAGACTCGGAGCAACGGGAGGAAATATTTCTCTCGTACGGTTCTTATCCGCCGGAGGATAAATTTTGGCCGCTGAATCTCGGACGAAACTCGAACGGGATCCTCGATATCCGTTTTCCCTCGACTTCTCATTGGCTTCGTTAAAATTATTCAGATCCAGGGGGCACGATGGTCTGACGCAAGTGCAAGCAACGATAAATTGTCCGTCTGGTCGCGAGATCGTATTCATTCGCGTTTCGTTGCCGCTGGATCGACTGGGTGTTCCCCGTTAGGTTCCCCATAAGTCATTGTCCATAAAAAATGAACATCCACGGGGCTGTTTCCAGCTGTGAAACGTTTCGTTTCGACCTGGGCCATAACTCATCGCACTGGCGGGGGAATTTGAATCGTTTTTTGCAGCGAAAACTTTTACGTTGCACGTTCGGTTACAGTAAAAATAAGGCAGTAACTTTTAATGCAAATTTAGAATATTTCTGATGCGTGACAGGGTCTTCTACACAGTGGTGAACCCTATTTTAATGATGAAAGTGTAAAAACAGTGTTCGTTGCATGTATCCGTACCACAGATTTGTGCAATAAGCGAGGCACTACTGTCAGTCGTAAGGAAGACCAAGAATAGTACGATGTATTTTTATTTCCTGGTACAGTATTCATTGAAACGATATTTAAAGAAAAATAGAAATTTATGACCACAGTTCTTTGGAGTAGACAAAAATAATTCTTCCAAAAATGGTGAAACTGGTATTCACATAATACTCGATCCTTTTAACCCCCGACGTTGTGAAATTGTGAATTGGTACTTTGGTCTCGTCACGATGCAAACGAGCAATGCTGATCTCCAGAAACGTCTATGTGCCCTTTAACATAGTACTTGGAGGCAAGTTGGAACGTAAACAAAACTAGAACAAGAAGAAGTTTCTTGATAATCTGGAACTGTCGAGACACCCAGAGATTCTACAATACGTGTAATTGTGCAAGTAACTCTACCGAGTGAATGCAAAGCCATCTCGAAATAATTAGTTCGTGATCCCGTGTTTGCTAACCATAATCCTGCCAGGATGTTACTTTCAGTCTGATATCAAATTTGAGTAATTTTGGAATCTGTAAATAAAATATACCGTCCAGTGTGTTCGATCAAGGTTTCAAAAATAATCGATTGTCTCAAACTGATATCTCGAACGGGGTTTCTTCTGCAAAATCCCAAAGTTGCCCCACTTTTTCCCCGCATGGAACACCAGTAGGTCCTTAAATCACTCGTTGGTCAAGGAATCAAGGTAATACGATCATTTTACCCGCCAATTTGTTCTCACTCGACATCCTTAGTGGCATTTTTCCTCGTGGATTCGAGGGTCTCACGTGTCTCTACTTACCTTTATCTCGTGGTTCTAACGAGCTCTAGCACCTTCCAAGAATCAATTGCAACGTTCAATCCGTGTTCAGAGCAGAGCTCGCTGGAAAGGATTTTCCTGACGAAAAGAAACCATTGTCGAGATCCATCTATATAAAATTACTCGTAAAAATCTAATCACTCGCCAACTTTTTACTACCTCCTGCCCGTTTAGATTTCTTTTCGACCATTTTTGCAAAGTTCTTGTCTTAAAATGCTTATTTATAAAAAAGAAATTGCGATGAATGACACGAAAATTGTGATTCGATCTATGGCGTCGCCTCCCATGCTCGCCGCTAGAGGGATCACGCTCTCACAAGCGCTCGATAGACCCCCCATTTTCCTTTTCTATCCTCCTACGAAATTCTCTTCCACAGATCTATTAATTTGTAGGATATTCTGGGTGCAAAAGTGCATTCGATAGGTCTCATTAGTTTCAAGAATTTTTCAATAGAATTTGATCAACATTTTGGAGAAGGCGCTCCGATTCTCAAAGGCTTCCGTATCGCGTGATTTAATTAGAAACCAGGTATTGCTCTGCAAATTCCGATTCGATTCATCCGAAAGGAACTGTATCAGGTGACAACAATGCTCTGTGATCTCACAATTAGGATTGTCGTGTTGCACGGAGAGAGATTGATTTTGCTAGTCTACGGTAGAGAATCCTCAATTTATTCAGTATAGAGCCAATAAAAAGAAATTGATGAGTTACTGATAGAAGAATAAAACAATAGTAATGGTAATAAACAGGCTCTGGTACATCAGTTAATAAAAGAAAAAGAAGAACTAGTTCTTCTAGGTTCTGATAAATATAATATGCAAGGAATATCGAGTTAATATTTTCTGTTGAATTTTTTAATTCTGTAATTCTTAATGTTTCCACTTTTCGCTAATAATACTTGCTAATAATACTTATTTATAAGGAATCGTCTCCTTTTCCGTTCCTCCGTATAAATTGAAAAGTACATGGCATACATTATATTTTGATTTCACTTATCAAAATGAATGATACAGTTTCTCCTGTGAATAGTTTTTTTTTAATTTTAATCACAATCGTGACAATCGAAGTGTCGAATAATTACACGCGAACGAAGCCAAGAACTTCACGAGTATTGGAAGCCATTAGTGTCTAATTGAAATTCACGCCGCCAGATGTCAGTTCGATAGTTAAGACTCGTCTTACCTAAAATCTCTTGGCTTCGATCGCGAGTAATTATTCACCAATTCCACCTTCTTTCGATTCTATTTAAAATTCCACGAATTGAATCACGTCAGCCACGATTCGATAGTTGGAATCTTATTTAATTCACCTGTAAAACTTTGATGGTTTCATACAAAAACAAGGTTTTTTAATTTGTTGCTATGCAGCGATGGATTCGTTGGCCTCGTCGAAATTTATGTAAATCTCGAGGGCCTCCCATCGTGTTCGCGCCTCTGAACGCGTGCCGGCCGGGAGGCTGGTTGAAAAGGCGAGAATGTGGGTCATTACCCACTTATTTTACGAGGAGTGAACGAAGGTTACATAGCCGGGGCTTTCCGCGGTCGGAGACACGGAGAAAAAAAAAAAATATCCACCGATGCGTACACTGCGCGACAGCGCAATTTTCCTTTTTATTTTTTCTGAATACTTTCTCTCGAATAATAGTTTCTCGCTATTTACGAAAGTCTCGGGCGTTTCAACGGGTATGCATTACGCGAGATTGTAAGTCTCGTTAACATTGCTCGTCCGACGCGGAGCGATGAAGAAAAGTATACCGTGCAACCCTCCAGTGCACGCTTGAGCAGAATTTTTTTCCTTTGTCGAATGTCCCGCCGACGCCAGAAACAACGCAAATGCTCTGTGCGTTAATTTCAGCATTGTCTTTCATGTTGTCACTGTGATCCATCGTTCTGTGACAACTTGAGAGGCAACACTGTATTTGAATTTGAGTGGTTCTGTAAATTTAGAATGTTAATGTAAATAAGAAATATTTATACACTGTAGGGTTGTGAAAAGAAAACAGTGGCATAGTGATTGATGCAGTAGTGTTTACTGTCCCGCTTCGCTCAGTTGTAATGCACCTTCCAATCAATGGCTCACATTGAAGCTACGAATTTGCAATGTAACACGTACTCTTTGGTATATTACGCGACGTCAGAGGAGCTCTAATTACGACGATTTAAACCGTGATACTAGAACGGAAGCCCAATAGAAAATATCTAAACGCATCGACGAAGTAATCCTTGTGTTGTACATGTACAAAAATAAAGTTCGCGCCGATGCGTCGAAAGGAACACTTGCGTATCGGAAATCAAATCTTGTCGTGGCTCGTGGCTTCCGGTAACGGGACTGTCGTCGCTCGAATTTACTCGAATTTCGCAATCGAAGGGATCTCATTTTCGAAATAATTACTCGTGTCGATGTGTTCAATTTCTTAAAAGAATTTAAACGATTCTGTTTCATGTGAGCGGGTAAAAATTATTTCATATAACCGAGGACTACTATTGCACTTCGGTTTAATTTTCATTTTGAAATTTCTTCTGAAATATTTTGCAATTTTGTGTCTCTGTTTCAATGACTCGAAGAACGAATAGTCAATTTGCTAGAATCAATTGGAAATCGTATCTGTGGCTGTTCGATCCATGCTCGAAGGAGGATACAGTTGCAATTTGTCAGTTAGAACGATACTATCGACACCATTTATTTACTTCGAATATAATTCCCCTTTAAATAGCGCGGATTTTGTTTCGATATCGATGTTGGATCCCACTATTGGTATGTCCGTGCCGATTGTTGTTATCGCGAATGATACGAATCTAACGGATAGGATTAATCGGAAATTCGAGCGAATCGAGGCAGTCGATGACGTTTAGCTAGGTCAGTGTCAGCGCTCGATCGAATGAATGTCTGCAATTTCTTTTTGTTTTACCCATCCAGGTCCATGAAACGGCTTTTAAACGCATCTGAGCTGTAAAAATAAGAGGATTCGAAGCTAACTTCCGATACAATCGTCGGATCTCGGATCAAAAGTGTCGGAATCTTTTACTGAAAGTACTTTCGAGCCCCTATCAACAATTTTCTGAAATTTCTTTTCGAAATAATAAATAAAAAATATTTTGTTTCTTTTCAGATAGTAAAAGATGTACTAACTGTATCGACTTAGTATTTATATTTAATTATGTATATCGTTATATGGTAACATATGTGAAATTTGATTGAATTTTGATAATCTGTACAGATTACGATATTGTTGTTTGTTTTCCATCTCGTTTACTTCTCGAAAATTATGAATAACACAAAATGTCGGAACAATTTTGGCACAATATATTATTAGTCTTTGATCGAAGAGAATCGTTAGAAAATTTAATAGGGAGATATCGCATGAAATTATTTTCCACAATAATAAATTCAGAATATAATTTAATTATTTATATTTTCTCTGTGCAAAAAAAGGGGAATCGGAACAAATCGAACGTTAACAAAAATATAAATCACTCTTTGAATGAGATATTCCCAAATGTATCAGGTCGGTCCATAAATTCGCATATTTCGAACTGCAAAAAAAAAAAATAAAACTACGCTGCATGCACAATATTTTCACGTAAAAATGTTGTTCTGGCAAAGTCACAGTAGGAGTAAACGTTATGAGACTGGTATTCTAGGTCTCACTAGTGTTAAAAAGAATTAAACATTCACCAATGCTTTTCACTCGCTTTTCCAATGTAATCTCTTTTCACTTTGATGTCGAAATTCTATTTTGCAATGAAAATTTCCGTAACTGTTTCGACTCTTGGCATAAACAGTAGCACAAACACACACACGAACTTATGGACCTGGCAGTACTATATCGATCTCTTAACCCTTTGTCCTACAACCGCGTGTGAGACTTGTAAGACACAAGTATCACGCGTGAGACACGTGAGACACGTGAGACTTGTGGTCAGGCATTCGGGCCAAGACTGATTATCACGCGTGAGACCTGTGGTCAGGCATTTGGACGAAGACTGATCATCTCGCGTGAGACTCGAGGGTCAGGTATTCTGGCCAAAACTGATTATCACGTGTGAGACTCGAGGGCCAGGTATTCTGGTTAAAACTGATTATCATACGTGAGACTCGTGGTCAAGCATTCGGACCAAGACTGATCATCTCGCGTGAAACTCGAGGGTCAGATATTCTGACCAAAACTGATCATCACACGTGAGACTCGTGGTCAGACATTCGGACCAAAACTGATCATCACGCGTGAGACCGTGGAATATCTCAAAAACTGGGCAGTTTCGTTTAAATTTTGGGCTCACGCAATCGAACTTCAGATCGTAGTGCAAGGGGTTAATCTCACATTTCCAACACAGATTCGGAACCAAAGTTAACTTCAAATATCATCGTAGTTTAATAAGAAAAATCGTTTAAATTCATTGGTAAAAAACAAAGCGTTGCATTTTCATTCGAACGAGCAGTCACTGACGTTCAAACAGTCCAGCTGTCCTTTGAATTCCCTTGGACCATTCCCAAAGAATATCTGCTACATCTGGGAATCTCACATGAAACCTATCGACCTGCAGTGAGGTTAACGATGATAATAATTACGTCGCTCGTAGTAGGGGGGGGGAGGGGAAGATTGTGTACACTTTAAAGCAACACGGAACACGCACGCTACACGATTAAACATCACTTACAAAAACGACGGGCATACACAATTCACATACACGCGCGCTCGCACTCTCACCGTTGTTCGTCGTCAATGTATGTACAGTCCTTGATTATTATTGCTATGGTACATTTATACAGTCTAAACGCGTACAATAGGCCGTACGAATGAAAGTAAAGCGTTCGCAAGTCCTCTAGAAAAAGTCGAGTCTCTACCGCCGGAGAGAGGAGACGCGCGGGCTGGGACCGGAAGTGGAGAACGAAAGAAAAGTTTCGCTTTCCACTTGCAAACAAAATCTCTCTGATTGATCCAATACCACGTGCAGGAGTTTCTACCACCCTTTTGCCACCTTATTTCGTGCCTCGTGGCGGCAAATCGCTGGCTTTGTTGCTCTTTCGTGTATAGGATGAGACACCCAACATTGGGAACTTAAATAGTGTTTCTGAGGCGTATTGGTACGTGTGAGCATAATTACATGACTGAGGAAATTGCTTTAGGCTGACAGGAGGCGATGGAAATTGTAGCGTTTACATTTTCTTTTAAAAATAATGTATCGATGAGAAAAACATGTAAAACCTCGTTTATTGCACTGTAGTGACAATTAAATGGGTGGTTTGTTAGTAACAAGTGCAGTCGAAGAACCAGGAATTAGCGAGAATAGTGGAGTATGTTTTCGTTGAACCGATTACCCCGATAATTGCCCGAACCTCGATATATGCACGCGCCTCCATCTTTATTTTCGCGCAATTATCGAGGTTTCGTTGTAATTTCTTACCTAAGAGTGCTCGAAAGGTCACATATGACAGGAAAGATGACGAAGATGAGAGTTCATAGAATTTTTGTAGAATTTACTCATCCCATACACGAAAACTTGTGAGCTCCAAGTGACTATGAAAGCAACTCGTGACTCGGTTCCATGATATTTGCATTTCATGCGAACGCAGCCCGGCGCTCTTCTCTCGTTAACAATTTCATTGTTAATAAGTATTGCGTTACAGATAATACAGCTTTGTTGTTCTCTAATTACACCTAGGTAGCACTGGTTACCTTTATCCTACGTTTATGGTTGACAACGTATTTACAAAGTCAACGCGTGTTCGACGATTCTGCGCGCTGGTTGGTCGCCGGTCGGTTTATGAACAACTGGACAGTGCTTTTGCAAAATATTTACATCCATCTTGATTTACAATTTTTGAAAATTTTTTTTTAAACTTTGGAGTCAACTGTTATTTAAAATTAAACATGAAACTACAGTAATTAATAGAAATTCTGGTTCTGGCCTTCATTTTCAAGAATTATATTTGGAGAATTCGAGTAGATTTATTGTTATTGAATTCGACTGCTGATCGTATTTTTTAATCATTTTCATCGTACAAGGATTAATAATCTTATTGTCTCATTGATAGAAAGAAAGAAATTATTTGAATCTGCACCCAACCATTTAAATATACTACATTTTTACAAACAATACATTTTACATGTATATTTACAGATTTTTAGTAATGTATAGTTGCAATAGTGAAATGTGTTTGTTGAAACAGAACAAAACAAAATGGAAGTCAATAAGAAATTAAATCTAATGAAATAAAATTTGATTTAATTTTATTTTATTTTATTACTAGAATTTACAATAAAAAATGATCGAAGATGGATGACTGGCGGACAAGCAGCGCCCAAAATCGCATTTTAACTACTACTTCCGCGAAGCTCGTCGCCCACGAAGGTACGCATTTCCGGCACGTGTTTTTCTGACGAAATTCGCGATGTCGTTGCGCGCCAACGAAAGACGTAAAAAGAGTACTTATCATTTTTTTTTCTTCTTCTTTTGCCCCCCGTTTCCGGTTGTCGACAACCATTGTCGTCAGTCGTCACACCGCGGCTCGAAGTTTAAATGTTAATCCATTCATCCAGCGAACTCATTTACGAGTTCCCGACCGTGCGCGGAATTCTTCAAACTGCTTTCAACGCTCGCTCCACCGAACCCAGAAACCAAAGTTTGCGCCCCAAGATGCGCGAATATATAAATATTAAATCACTCAGCTCGTTTCCGCGATACATCTCGCCGTTCCTGAGCGCCAAGAAATCTTTCTTAATCCAGTATAACCAAAATTAAAGGCAACTTTTGGCGTGAAAAATCGTAAAATGAAATATCCACCGAAGAAGTGAAATGTTCTTCTCGTCCCCTGTATTATCAAAAAATGACCAGACTTCCGGCAGTACCACTTGTGAACACTTGCCATCCCCGAGAGCAACTTGCAATTCATCTGATAAATTTCCACTCGAGGTAAATCCAAGCCCAAGAAAGGATTCTTTCTTCGACTGTGAAATCCTTTAAGGAGATCAGAGAACTTCACCGAGTGTCTTCGTCGAAGAGACGAGAAGTGTCTTGTTCGATTTTATTCGCCCCCGGGCGACCGCCGCGGAGGGATCGAAGTCGAAGCTTTCGCGCGAACAGCGATTTAGCGTCTTGCAATTAGCAGTTTGGAATTCCAGCGTGACAAACGGTCGGGAACCAGCCAGTCAAAGTAGCTGACCTTAATGAGGGGGGGGGTTCTGATTGCGATCCACGGGCAGGAGGTTCCTAAAAAGGGGCTTAATTCGAGTCCAGAAATGCATAAAATCAGTCTCAAATACCGTTGCACTCGTTTCTCGGCGAACGGTTGGCAAAACTCACGGGGGCACGGCCTCTACTTCCGTCCGGATTAATTAACGCGCCTCTAATAAATCATTGAAGCGGAACGCCTGGCCGAGCGTAATCGATTCTATCGGACAAGGATGGAGCAAACCGTGCGTTTCGTTAAATATGTACGCGTACGTGTGCACCTGGGCAAAATCGAATTTTCACGTGACAAAATAGTGCACGTTCCACGGTTGTAAGAGATACGTATAATTGGAAACGTTTCCATTGTTTTGGAAATCGAATCCAATCATCGTGATGGCGAATTAAATAAGGAAAATTCCAAATCTTTTGATCAATTTCTGGCAGTTAAAATTTAATAAAATCTTTCGTTCGAAATTAGAAAATAACAGAAAGTAATCCCAATTCTGACTGAGAAATCGGGAACTCTGTTTGATATTCGTATTCTTTCTCATGTCCACTCGATTAAGCCACGAATCAAATTTACCTATCGCGCGGAGCCAATCAAAGAAATCAACTGATTATTAATTTTTACCAAAGAGAATATAGACTCAAAGTCTCGAAGTCTCGAACCATAATCAGAATCTGATCGATGCACACGTACGAAACACGGTTTTCGTTTTGCGAGCCCTTTGGTACTCCAATTCCGAGTCGTTTCATCGTTTCTCTAACACAGCGTGTGATTTATCGTAGGCGTACTCGCGATTCAACAAATTAGCAGTAAATACTTCTAGCTGAATGATCGATGATAGGTTGGCACCCTCTGCATTTCCTCTCGATTGGCAAATTAAATTGCACCGTCGTTCAGCGATCAACTCCGGCGGAATGCGCCGTGGGAGTCGACCGAGTCACGTCCAACTTAACTGGCCGCCCAAGGCCACCGAGTGGTCGTCCCCCACCATCTTCGTTTCCCCCACCATTCCGGTCCCCTTGAAGCTCCCGCGAGACGAGAGTGGGGACAGCGATGGAGGCGGTGACCTTGAGCGGCCAAATCCGACCGGAGCGGACGTGTAAAAGGGAATGCAGGTACCGCGTGTTCGTTCGCCCCATGGAGTTTGACGATCGTTCGGCCAACGAGCTGACGCCAAATTCGTTCGTGGATCTCAAGCTATGGCGTGTCCGGTGCGACTGTTCACGGGGGCTTCTCTCGCTAGACGAACTGCGACGGTGTCTTCCAGCAGCTCGCGCAGCACGGGAGGGCGCTCTTCAAGGTGTCCTTGAACGCTTCGCGAAAATCGCGGTTAAAGTACGCGTAGATCAGGGGATTCAGGGCGCTGTTGAAGTAACCTATCCAGAATAGGACGGACACCACCGTGTCTGGACAGTAACAAGACTCGCCGCACAGGGACGTCGTCAGATACCTGGGGAAGACACGAATACCATGGATTAGTATGGAGAACAGTTTATACCATTGTTTAATAATCTCCTGACGTTTCCTCTCGTCGAACTCTATAGTCAAATATTGCCTCGTTAACTGTAGTGATTTCTACCCCCTCAACTGACCATGTCCAGTTACAGTGGGCTTTCTCGAACGATTTTAACTTTGACTCATTTGCTATATTTTATTTTTAACATCCCCAGTATAAAGGCCCACTAAAGTTCAGTTCTACCTCCCTATAGTTTAATAATTTTCTGACATTTCCTCGTGTCGACCTCTACAGTCAAAGATTACCTCGTTAACTGTCGTGGTTCCTACCCCCTCAACTGATCGTGCCCAGTTACAGTGAGCTTTCTCGAACGATTTTAACATTGACTCATTTGACATATTTTATTTTTAACATCCCCAGTATAAAGGCCCACTAAAGTTCAGTTCTACCTCCCTATAGTTTAATAATTTTCTGACGTTTCCTCACATCGACCTCTAGAGTCAATATCAAATATTGCCTCGTTAACTGTCGTGGTTTCTACCCCCTCAACTGACCATGTCCAGTTACAGTGAGCTTTCTCGAACGATTTTAACATCGACTCATTTGATATATCTTTTTTTTAACATCCCCAGCATAAAGGCCCATTAAAGTTCAGTTCCAGCACGTCGTAACGTCTAATAATAGTGGTCCGCGAGCTGAATTATAACTCGGTGATCGCTACATTTCAATCCTGACCCAGACACTATATAAAACTCCGCTAAAAGCTTTCCTCGGGGTTTTCTTACCGGCCACAATAATTCTGGACGATGTCGACTAATGCAGCCGGCGTGAACGTACGAGAAAATTTTTCACGCTGACTAATGATCATATTTTCAGCCGCTTGGGAAGTTATTTATCTCGAACGCGACATTTAGAAACGTCCCGCGGACCGGAAATCTCCATTCACGCCCGCGGAAGCTAATCGAGCCGCGCGGTCGTGATTTACTGCAGCTGTCGAACGCGTTCGCATATGTCCGCAGCTGCACAATAATGCTCGTCGTGGCGGGCACGCTTGCAAATCATTCCAAGTTCTGCTTGAACGCGCTGCTTCGCCCCGACTGTCGCTCCTAACCTACGATTTTCGTGTAATTATAAATACGGGGGATGCCCACGACCTAATAGGTACGAACTAATAGGAATCCATGCCCTTTCGGACAATGGAACGGTGGGTGTTTCTCGTTTCATCAATCTGCTACCATGATCGAAATAACAAATGTATTGACAACAGTAGTATCAAAATAGTACGAAGAAATTATTTTTTAATAATTTGAAGAACAGTTTATTTTTTGGCCCAATTTATCGATGAAACGCATCGTCAACTCGAATTAACTGTAAGAATTAATTATTACGAGGATAACGAGAAGCGTGGGCTGCTAGACTGAAGCAATTAACCGAACTTCCATCGTTCGATGAAAAAAATGATGAAAAATATGGAAAACTTGCACGAGAGTATCGTAAACATCGAAACTTTCCTCTAACAGGGACAAGTCATACCATCGCGCTGAGGTATTTGCTATACGTTGTGGATTTTTCAAGTATGATTAATTTTTGTTATCGTCAAAGTAATCAATTCTCGGACGAGGAAGAAACTTTTTGCGACTTAATTCATTAATAACTTATTTTTGTAGCTGCAGCCACTCGCAGGCACGGTCGAACTTTCGAGGGGACGATTGTTTTAGCGTTTAGCGCAGCTGCGAGTTAAATAAATAATGTCCCGACGAAAAGTTTTCCACGAATTCACTGTTGTACAATTATTTTACGAAAATTCAAACTCACACTGCTGCATATAATTAATAACATAAGAATGTTGCTGGGTTATACAGAGTGTTAGACCACATCTGGGAAAAATTTGAATGTAAGATTTTAGAGGTCAAAATAAAACGAAAATCAAGAATACCAATTTATTGATTGAAGCTTCGTTAAAAAGTTATTAACGTTTGAATTTCCAAAAAAAAATATTTCGAATCGTTCTGAAAAAAATATTTTTGACTTCAGGGGTCAATTCTAACTATTTTTTGTCGATAGACATATCCACGAAATCCTACGCAGTTTCGAGAAAAAAATTCGAGTAGATATGAAATTTTTCGACAAAATTAAGACATTTCAAATCGTTCTAAAAAAATTATTTCTAGGTTCTAGGGTCAAATACAATCATTTCTGGTGAATACACATACCCCCGAATTCCTACGCACTTTCGAGAAAAAAATTGGAGTAGGAGCTGAAAGTTTTGGACGAAGAAAAAGAATTTCGAATCGTCTTGGAAAAATTATTTTTAGTTGCACGGGTCAATTACAAGCATTTTTGGTGAATAGACATATCCTCGAATTCCTGCTCAGTTTCGAGAAAAAAATTCTTTACAGAAAATTACATGTCTGACCATACCATTGATACGTTTCACTGAAATTTTTCGTCAAAAAAAAAACTTTTTCAAATCGTTCTGAAAAAATTATTTTCGGCTGCGGGGGTCAGTTGCAATAATTTTTGGTGAATAGACATATCCCCGAATTCCTACGCACTTTCGAGGAAAAAATTCCTGAATATGTGAAATTGTTCGTCGAAAAAAAAATTTCAAATCGTTCTGGAAGAATTAGTTTCGGTGAATAGATTATTTTGGCCCCTAGAATCTCTTATTAAAATTTCCCCCAGGAGTGGCCGAACACCCTATATAATTATGAATATTCATTCACAGTTTCTCTGGTTACTTAAGAAGAGTATCTATGGCAAACTTAGTTTCTCTCTGACTACTTTGAAAAGCTTGATACAGTCTAGAAAGCACTCTTTGTCCAACTGTCATAAACGTCGGGGCAAATTGCGACAGAAAAGTAGCACCGTATTTTGCTTCCCGGCTCAAAAGAGCGCATACTCTATCGAAGAAAATTAAATTCAACCCGGCCCTTCCAAATTGAACTTCCCAAAGCGCTCCTCTCGCCTCCGCAACAGCGAATTTTCCGAAAGTAGAACGTTATTTCAAACGGAAACATTTAAATCCAGGAAGAATCGTTCAGGCGAGGGATTTGTATAGAATGTAATATCGAGCCGCAGATTGCCTTTCAGCGGAGTCAGCCGATACACGAGTGATTGGAAAATAAACCACACGGTGGTCGAAATCGTGCTCAATGTAGAGTTCGAAAAATCATTTGAAGTAGCAGAAGAGATCCTCAATGTCAGTCGTTTGACCTCGTCGGTTTCCAAAACACGATCTTTAACGAAACTCCATACGATTCGAATGCTGCGTTTGGTACACGATCTTCCAGGTTGTTCTTCATTCCCTATCACGCGTGAAACTTCGATTCCCGACGAACGAATCGGCATAGCAACGGCGAAGTTCTCATTAGAACCCGATGCCTGGCAACTTCTGCCCTTATTATTCCAGCAGCAAGGAGGGAAGTGCCATTTCCTCGGAAACCACGGTCCTGCATCGCTTAGTCAAGCAAATAGTTGGACTGGATACGCGGAGACCGAGCTAAACTCACGGGCGTACTCTGCGGGATGCACTCGGCTTTGCATTAATAAAACATGCGGCTGGTTCAGCTTTCGCGAGTAATTCTCCGACTCCGGGAACTTGGCGTCGATGAAACGAAAGCTTCGAAAAGCTTGCAACCGCCATTCGTTGATGCACCGTTGCACTGCCGTACAGATGAGTTTCTGTTCAGTTTCCCCGACGCTTCCGGGATCGCGATTGTGCAAACCCCCCGCGCAAAAAAGTACTCGATGGATCGGATATTTACATACGCGTAGGTGGAAAACAGTTTTGCTATGAGTTCCGTCCTTCGACGGAATTGTTTACGAACGTCTGCGAGGAAAGTTGATGGAACTGAAACGTCTGTGTCAGCGAACAGCGGTACTTGCCGATCATTTGCATTTTTGGGCATTTAATCCCCCGGCGCGACCGTTGCATTACGAAACCGGGGATCTAATTTTAACTCGCGGAGTTGGACGGCTTCCATTGCGTGGATTTGCATTTTTACGAATTTGGTCGCCCGGTATAGCGTGATGCTATATTGAAATTATTATAGCTCGAGGTTCCAGTGATTCTACATGAAAAAATGAATGGATAACGAGGAATCAAATTTTGTTGTCCGAGGTTCCGTTTTCGAGGAAATAGAATTTGAATATGTTTGGGGCACGTGAGAGATTTGGTTAAAATGTCTATTCGTTAGCTCTCATTTCGATTCATATTTTTGAATATCAAGGCAAGTAGAATAAATGAATAATGGTCACACGTATAATTGTACGCTCGGAATCACACGCCCCAAAAAGCTTTCAATGCCAGTTTCTGCGAAACCGAAGCTTCGAATTGAAAATGTTATTCCGCATTTTCGATTCCCTTTTTCGTGAAGAATCGCCTCCTGATTCGGGATCGTACATTTGTCAGGACACGGTAATGCCATTAGTATATTAAGATAGCGCTGAGTTGGAAAGCGAGCTCCGAAAATATATGATCGTTTCTGCTTACCAAAGGAAAAATGGCAGCCAACATAGGAGGAACGCGCCCATTATTATTCCGAGCGTCCTCGCAGCTTTGTGTTCGGCCCTCCAGCTTTTCGTTTGCTGTCGTATCGATGTACCTGAAAATTATAAATTGTCACGTTTATGATTCGGTCGTTGCAGAGCAACCACAAACACACATATTTTGTTTCTTATATTAATAATTCTCAATGATATTATCGCGCAAATTCCATTATTTTGGCATTTAAGCTACTGTTCCCTGTCGTATAGAAACAACGTCGATGGGATTATTATTATCAAACAACGCGTGGCACGCGATTGTACGTTGAACTTTGACAAACCACAGTGATAATTAATTTCAATTTCGAAACGACGCTCGTTAACGCTCGAAGAATTTCAACATCGATGCGCCAAAATCAACGAAACAAATTCTTGTTTGTTATGACTCCTCTCGTGGCTTCGTAGGTGCAGTCTTGTTAAAAATAAAAAGAACGTGTGAGTTTCCGAAAATTGGAGTAAAAAATTGGCTCTGATAAACAAAAATTTATTTCCTCGAATTCGTATTTAAAGATAGTTCGCAAAAAGAAACGGTAATTAGGCGTTCTGTTTAATTTGGGTCAGCCTGATATTTATAGAAAAAGTATACATGTATTTCATAAGTAGATAAAATTTCGATACGTTCTCGCGAGACCTAAATTGTCCGGTTGATCTCGTTTCGAGTAATTTATCTCTGTCCCGATTAACCCCTTCTCGAGTCACCGAGCCAATGATAAAGATTGCACTTCCTGAAGGTGCACGTCGAATGCAGCAGCGTGTGTCCATTCAGGAGCACGTGGCCCCCGAACGAAAGATAGCAAATTCATTTGGACGGGGCCGATATCCAACCGTTGTTTAGATAATGCGAAGTGCCAGAATAGGAAGGCAGTCGTTGAAGCGAAAGCTGAAGGGTTCGCGTGCTAGGACGCAGTCAGGCAGATTTAGGTTGGTTGGTCGATGCTCACCGGCTTCTCCGCTTTCGTGCAATCGATGCGCTCGTCTATCAAGATGCAAGAAGCGTCTGTTCTACGGTATGCCCAATTTAAGTGTACACACGCAATCACTTCCCGAGCTGTTCAAGACGCAAACAAATTCATAGAACAACAATATCAATGTCCAGAGTACCGAGCAACGTGAAATTACAAACTCATGAGAAACTAGTGGACATAACATGAGGGAATAGTCTGCTGGTTTCATTCTTCGTCCAAATTTCTCAAGGATGTAGGACTAAACGAATTGGAGAACTCAGAGAAAGGTAAATTAGCAGATCCATGAGAGGCTAGTAGTGTATCATAGCATTGATCAGACCTAGTGGACATATCGTGAGGGAATAGTCTGCTAGTTTCATTCTTCGTCCAAATTTCTCAAGGATGCAGGACTAACCGAATTAGGGGATCCAGAAAAAGGTAAATAGCAGGTCCTTGAGAGGCTAGTAGTGTATTATAGCATTGATCAGACCTAGTGGACATACCACGAGGGAATAGTCTGCTAGTTCCATTCTTCGTCCAAGTTTCTCAGAGATTTAAGACTCTAACCGAATTAGAGAACCCAGAGAAAGGTAAATAGCAGATCCATAAGAAACTAGTAGTGTATCATAGTATTGATCGAACCTTGTAGACATATCATGAGGAACTAGTCTGCTACTTTCATTCTTTGTCCAAGTTTCTCAAAGATTTAAGACTAACCGAATTAGAGAACCCAGAGAAAGGTAAATAACAGATCCATGAGAAACTAGTAGTGCATCTTAGTATTGATCGAACCTAGTGGACATATCGTGAGGAAGTAGTCTGCTACTTTCACTCTTCGTCCAAATTTTTTTCAAGGATTTGAGCCTACCCGAATTATGGGAAGTATCTTAACAGATATTGAGGCACAGCAATATCTTACGTAGTATTGAAATGCTTGTGAGTGGCGCCACGGATGGTAAAAAATTTACCGCGAGAAAATGAGACTCGCGTGCTTGTGGTAAAAGGAACACCTGTCGGTCTCTTCGGAGTTGTCGGTTGGAAACTTTATGATACTCCAGTTGTTCCCGGAGTCCCTCGATTCCGGAAGGGAAGCACCACGCAGGGATTGCGAATAACGTTGCTGCAATCCGCTGGTCCCGCGGGAGCTCTGGCACAAAGCGGATTCGGAACTTTTTAATGGAGACGAGAAAAGTAGTTTAGAGGGGGAGGGGGGGGGCGGGGGTGGGGCGACGGGGAACACGTAATCCTGGAAGTCCCGTTTCGCGAAAAACGCTTCGAGGAACGCGAGTTGTTTCGAGAATTTGTTCTTGTCCATCTGCTTCGAATGCTGTTTGTTTCACCGTCGAGCGTCCATCGCTCGTTAGGTTCGTCCTTTTCGAGAGTATTGTAGGAACACTCGGGGTGTCATTGGTACGAAGGGTAGTTTTTCAAGTTAAATACCGACTGTCTGACTTCATTTATTTAAAATTATTAAAAATGTGCGTCTTGCACGAACTGTAAATTGAACGTGCAATTGTAAAAGTTTAAAAGAAGGTAGGAAGAACAGTAATATAGAAATGGATTCGAAAGTGTGTGTGTTTGTGATTCTCCTGGATTGGAGAGGGATCCGTTAATTCTGGTTCTTGGAAATTCCGTCTCGAAACGAGGTTAAGAAAAACGAATGTGCTTCGAACTGGTTTTCTTTCAGCGAGTCAATTTTTCTCTGCCCCCTCCTTTGGACGAGATCGATTCGATGCATGGTTAAATGAGAGAACTCTGAAAAACGGTAAGAGATAAAAAAGACGAGTTTCATTAAGCTCCCGCTGGGAGCTTTGAAACGGAATCTTCAATGATTTTATTAGCCTGGATTTTACGAACCATCCTCGGTAATGTTCAGTAATGCAATACCTCTTATCTATTAAGAGGAGAATGAAGATCCTCCTTCCATAAATATGCAACCTTGTGTATTCTGTATTAAATTTTTTGCTTGAATTACGAAACAGTAAATGAACACAAAATACTTCTCCCTTTTTATTCAACTATTTCTTTGGAAAGGTACACAAAATTAATTTAAATTATGTCATACATATTTTTCGATCGATCTTCATGCTCGAGGTGACTGTCTAGTGTATAGTCTATCCCTAGCTGAACAGTAGGTGTTTAGAATCTGTTTTGCATGCATCTGTCTAAGCTTTGATAAACTTTTCATCGTTCCTCGACGTCGTTCGCTCGACATTTCGTTTAATCGGCTTCAGACACAGCCGTGAACGTCACGGTTAAGTAAAATCCGCTCGTTCTCGTGCCGTAACATTCGACAATGGCGTAGGCATTGAGCCCCGTCGTCGCGTTTGTGCCGCCTAACAGGCTGAACAATGAGAATCTCGACGGTAATACCAAGTAGGTACACGTCTCGAATATACTTAGCTCTACGCCCGTCTGAGACCACGGCCGGACAAGAGCGACGTAATCCTCATTCAACAAGACCTGCATATTGTATGAAAGTGGGGCACCGGTCGTTTCCTGAAACTTACTGGCGTATCTGTCCCCCCCTTTGGCTCGGAATTTCGCCAGCAGCTCAGACCGGCAATTAAGCGGCATTATTATGCGATTACCCGTCTCGAACGTAGCAGATGGTACTGTTTCGTTTTTGCGTTGATCCGCCACCCATCCACCTGCCGCGTCTCGACACGCTTCGTTCGGATGACCGAACCGATAACCGTAACGATTACGTTTCGAGATCCAACTGAGTGGTACAGTTCAACAAGTTAAATAGACTGACGGGGTGGTTCGATAGTGGAGAAATAATTGGCATGAGATCGGAAGATCAAACTATAATCTAGGCCTTCGTAGCTGGTGGATGTCGACAGGGTACAGCAAAAGATTGTAGAAGGATGAGAAAATCTGGGGATCTTATTTAACTCTTGGAGCTGCAAATTTGTTCTTCATAAACGAGGATATTCAGGGTAGAATAAATACAACGTAATGAGGGTTGTATCAAAGGAATTTATACCGGAGCAATGGCTACCTCGGTTCTGCCTTTTCACTTGCCTCTTGTGTTTGCGGTCTACTCGTTATCTCTGTTTGCACTCCACTCCTGGCATAGTCAATAGTAACTATTTTAAAATAGTTAAGGAGTGCAGTCTGACCATACTTTTAGCCACGACCTATCCCTACTGTGAGCATAATCAAGCATCCTCATTTTACCTAGCTATCATACCTAGCTATGCTTTTAGTGTAGGCAAGAATAGTCACCTAACCCTACTCTTATCATAGTCGAGCGTGTAAACTTAGACCTACTCTGAACATAGTCAGACATATCAACCTAATCTTAACACAGTTAAGTATGCAACCTAACCCTGCTCGTAGCAAACTCAGGCATTCTAACCTAACTTATTGTCTAACTTGTAATCGTCAGTTCCAAACACTTGAGAGGGGAGACTCGGGTAAAATGGTAAATTAGAAGTGATATTTGACAATTTTTTTACAGCATAAGAGTTAGGTTTGGGTTAGGTTAGTATATTCTTTGTCATTTCAAGATACAAATATCTTTTTTTCGTTACGTGTTATCGACTTCAGATGAAACAATAAATGTTATTCCTTATGTGCAGTCTGGCATTTTTTTCCTTTGATCTAGAATAAAAAATCTAACGACATTTTGCTCGTAATAGTACTACACGACATACGAACTAACATACTTCGTAATAATAATTATTTAAACTATGTTTATCGCATAATTGAATTAGAAATTTATCTTCGACAATCTTGCATTTTTTAAGGAATCTTCACACTTGACCTAACCTATTATTAAAAAATGAATTTTTAACAATTTAGCACGTTGACTAATATCGAAAGAAAATAAAAAACACGTTGTGGCTTCCATGGAAGCGATAACGAGGGGGGTTTGAGTGTCGCGTAAACGATTCGTGTTTTTACGACGATATTTACGGCTTCATTGAAAGTACGTTGAATTTCCATGCTGTTTTCCATTCGGTACGCGCAGCAACACTGATATAAATGGAAATCAGGCCTCCGTCCAGCGTCGTTTTGTTTAAACATTTTCCAACGCGTCGTCTATCACGCTTTCGTTTGCATGGCCGGGCGGGGGGAAGTGAATTATGTTACGTCGACCAGCGTCG